AGTTCCCATCTTGGTGAATCATTGACACTAACATTTGCTTCCCAGTATCCTACCCTCACATTTCTAAAGCAGCCTGTCTCCTGGCACGAGCCCCTCCTCGGCCCTGCAAATGGCTTTCTCCCATGTAGGAAGTTTTTTCTGCCTAGGAAACAGCTCTCACCAGAGCAGCTGGCCCCAGCCTATGTGTCAAGATGGGTCTGTGTTTCTCTGGGCGGGTGAGGATAGATAGCCCTGTATTCCACAGCCAGCCCATTGCCCCTTAGTCTGGTCATTTGAACCTCCCTGAGTCCCAAACAGCACGGGGTACATGTGAGAGCCCCAAGGGCAAAGTGGTCTTGTGTCCCTCGTTTGGATAAACCCATGTCCATACTGTTTTGCTGCTTGGCTTCATATGAGGCCAGCATCGCGGGACCTGAGTATGTGCAGGCAGTAGCCCCTGCCTGCTGCTACTGGGCCAGCTGGGGCTCAGGACCCGACAGCCCTGCCTGCAGCCCTCCTCCCATCTCCAACACGAAGACCTGGGGGATAGATGGGCTACAAGAAACCCCTTTGCCTTCAGCCCCGGCCACAAACTGGCCTAGAGCAAATGCAGTTTCATGGGTCTATTGTGCAATTATCAGGATACTTCTGTACTTGATCCATGACTGTACTTGTATTATACAAATACAATTTTTTAAATAACTTTTGGGGGCTATTAACTGAAGATGAACGGGGGCTATTCCCCCACATGTGTGATGTATGACTGTGCAAAGGCAAAACTTGTTTTACACCTTTCCTAAGTTTGCCCCACTAACCACGCATGCCCACAAGCCATAGGCACTCATTCTTCCTGGGAAAACATGGTAATTCTTTTTATATTTCAATTGGGTTAGGCTTAGCTTCCCAGGGATTTGGCTACAAACCCAGCCTAGGTGCTCTTCCACGACATCACATGTACCAATCAAGCTGTCAAAAGGGGAGTTTCCTTTGGATGGGTTTGGCCTCTAGACCAGTGGTTCTCAACCTGTGGGTCTCGACCCCTTTGGGGGTTGAACGACCCTTTCAGAGGGGTGGCCCGATTCCTAACAGTAGCAAAATGACAGTGATGAAGTAGCAATGAAAATAATGTTATGGTTGGTGGTCCCCACCACATGAAGGGCTGCATGAAAGGGCCACAGCAAGAGGAAGGCTGAGAACCACTGCTCTAAACTACAAGCAGGCCCTGTGGTGGCAATTCTCCCCACAGCAGTCATTCCCTCTGGAGCTAGAACGGAGGTTCTGAAACAGAAGGTGAATGTCAGAGTCATCTGAGGAGCTCTGAAACAATGCACAAACATCTCCTTACATGGGTAAAAAGAGCAGATGTGTTTCATACAAGTAGAACCTCTGACCCATACGGTGGGGCCAAAGGTTCTTCTGGAAGTCAGAACATGGCACCAGGTGCGTCTTTGGCTTCTTCACCCTCCTGACTCAGCCCCAACCAACCCCACCTCATCTAAAATTTCCCACAGTGCTTCATACATCACAAGTACTTTACACTTTATTATTCATGAGTTTATGGGAAACAATTATTAAGAGCTGCAAAAATGTTCCTCTCCTTAATCAAATCATTCTACACGGAAAATCTATTCTAAGAAAGTTATCAGACAGATCATCATAAAGTGATATATAAAGCTATTCAGTGACACAGATTTCTAAAGGTTACTTGTGAGAGCAGAAAATTGGCGAAAATATAAATGTCAAATTGAAAATGACCAAATATAGCTAATAAACACCAACCATAAAATAATCAGCCCCTGCTAGAGCATTATGCAAACTATCAATATTTATGAGAGAGTGCAAAAGTACTCTTAATATAGCACAAATTAGGGGAAATTAGAGTGAATTAAACAATACTTACTGGATGCTGGCTCATTGGTAATAAGGACACCAACCATCTGTACAGCATTGATACAGAACAAGAAGTTCTGAAGTCCCTGCCCCAAAACATCAGCACATCCTCAAACTTCCAGATTAATTACCTGCTCCTCTATACTTTCTATTACTGAATACAGACAAAAAGGAGTGGTACTATAGGAAAATACATTATTTGGGAGCCTTAAAAAGGATAAACAAAAATGTTTGTATTCTTGCTTCTCCTAAAGTTAGAAGGACCTAGACTGCACACTTGTGTAAGGGACAGAGATGGCAGAGACACAGAGAGAAAGCATCTCTTCTCTTCTGAAAGTCTGCATGTATCAGGAAAGACGCCAACATGACAAGCAGCTCAATTGAACAGAAAGAAGAGACCCAGGGGGTAAGAAGCTTCCTAGGGTCTCGCTTTAAGAAAGGGGAGTGCGGGGTGGAGAGGAGCTAATGATGGCAATCAAGTAAGAATTTCTCTGGAAGCTACTCAAGACATACTCGCTTTAAAGCTACATCTTCCTCTGCTACTTTTTGAGGTAACAAATACTGTGACGAGCAATACCTCTCATTATTCAGAGGTACAATCAATGGTTTATAGCAACTGCACAGTGAAGTGGTACAAAAGCTTTCTCTTTATTGCTCCACGGTAGGCTGATTCTAATAAGTGATTCATGACGTCTTTTTTTCAAGAATGAACCAGAGGCTCTCCACATACACTCCAGTCTCACCCTTTATCCCCCCATGAAAAATTCATAAAGATGACCAGAGAGGATTCAAGGATTCACACGTATTGAAATCCTTTTCAAGATGAAATATATTAGATTTATATCTCAAATGAAAACACACCATCTAGAAAGCTTTTTCCCACACAACGTATGAGCAAAACATGCCCTAAAACAGTGGAGAAAAATCAATGTCATAAAAAGTTGAAACACAAAAATGAGTACACATCCCAAAAGAACAGTGAAAAACAGCCAAGGCCTCTTCATCTCCCAAAAAGTATTCAAAAGAACCCCAAAATTTAATTTTTTTAAAGGGGGGGAAGGGCAGTAATACAAAAGTGCAGAGAATGCTTGGCCATTGCAAGCTCTCAGCTGGCATCGTTAAACAGTAAACTCAGTTTACAGTGTACTTGATGCTTCCTAACGGAATGAGACATCGTCAGGGTTCTAACTCGGGGGACTCTACCTCTCATCTGTGATTCTGAACCACAAGGAGAAAAGCCCAACATGGTAGATTTCCAACGTATCAGAAAGTGATTTCTCTGCTCAGAAATAAGAGGTGTTTACTGACTGGCAATATTATTTTGAAAATGCTTACATTGCTTACACAACTTGAAATAAGAGATGCCAATTAACTACGTAGGGGAGTTATATAAGAATATCAACTTATTTTAACCATCAGAGACCAATAAACCATAAGCCTGTGAGTTCTTAACTAATTTATTTCCACCTGTTTATACATGAAAACCTAAACCGCTGCACACTGATAAGAATTTATGATGCCTTGAAATACTAGCATCAGGAAGCTCTCAGCGAGGCAGCCGAAAAAAATAAATGTAATGCAATGTGCCTCTTCAGCAACTCTGTTTTACCCCAGCATACTGTCTGAATATTGAAAAAAGGTAAAGTCCTTTTTGACTGAAAATACAACTACATTTCAATCAAGTATATAATTATTGGGGGGAAAAACCCTCCTAGAATAAAATGGAAGCTGCATAAAAATTAGTCAGCATGTTTAGTAAGTGATTATTTGCAAAGCAAAGCAAAAGAAATGCAAAGACACACTCACTGCACGTGGCACTTGATGGGTATTGTATGAGAGTAGGATTCCATCTAGACGTGCATGGGTTCTAGGATAAAAACCTCTCTTTTCTGAAAGTAGGCATTTAGTTATATCAAATACTTCTCCATACAGAGGAGCCCTGGTAGCACAGTGGCTTTTGAGTTGGGCTGCTAACCACAAGGTCAGCAGTTCAAAAGCACCTGCTTCTTCAAGGGAACAAGATGAGGCTTTCTGCTCCCGTAGGAAATCCACGAGGGCAGTTCTCCTCTGTCCTGAAGGGTCGCTATGAGTCAGGACTGGTGAAAGGGCAATGAACCTGAGTTTTCTCCATGGAGAGAGAAACTGTGCTGAGTAAGACTTTATTATAACAAATAACATTATGTGAAAGAATGTTCAACACATTGCTATTTAATGTTTTTTAAAAAAAAGTAGCAATATAAATTAACCAAGTAGAAGCGAATGATAGCATGTGAGTGTGGTGAAGTGACATTTCTTAATATGATTCTTCTTCTATCTAGGTCTCTGTAACCTCTGCCAAGTGATGGGGTGGAGCTATGCAAATAGGGTGTGTCTCACACTAACAGAGAGGATTGGTCTCTTTCAGTAGGCAATCCCCAAGCAGCAAGGATGAGAGGTCGCAGAAGCAGGGACAGAGAGGAATCCCAGGACGGCCAAGGAAAAAGAGTCCCCAGTGGGGCACACTCCAGATCTCGGTCTGAAGAGGCAGAGGCCAAGCGCCCGGGTGGCTGAGAGGCTGAGGACCAGAGAAAGCAACCTGGCTGCTAAGGAGAGGTTTTGCTGTGGACCAACGGCTGTCTCCTTAATGCTTTCTGCTCATGGCTTGTGGTAATCTTCCCAATTAAAAACAGCCAACAAACGGACTCACAGCCATCAAGTCAATTCCAACACAATTCAACCCTAAAGGACAGGCAACAACTGCCCCTGTCAAAAGCCTCCTCTTTCTCATGCAAACCAGTTGGTGGTTTTGAACTTGTGGTTAACCGTCAGTGCGTAACACTACTCTAGCAAGGCCATGCCCTAGGTCACGAGAGTCTTGTCCGTGAGTTCTGTGTGGCCACTGTAATACATGATCGAGCCCATGACGGAAGCAGAGTGCTGTGGGTGGCACAGTGGGTGAGAGACTAGGTCAAGAAGCACGGAGAACGGAGGCATGTGTGACCTCTGCCTCATGGCTATGGGGACGCCAGAGGAGGTCAGATACAGCCTTCCTGTGTATGCGCCAAGTGGCCACACACGTAGCAAAGGATCCACCCAGCAGCTGAACCCCATCATTGTTCCCAGGAGGAGCGGAGGAGGAAGGGGGAGGTTACCTTCCTGTCACAGGTTTTGGGGCTGCCAGCAGTGTTCTGCTTGAGGAAGCCAGCTGTTGTGGACCAGCGTGTGGGGTTTTTCCGTGATGGTTCTTCTGAGGAAAAGTTATGATCGCTGACCGAGGTCGACAGGCCAATTAACGCTGGGTCACTGCTTCGTCGCACATGAAGAGGCATATCTATAAACAAAATAAAGCACTAAGTTAAAGAAAGGAAGATACTAAGGACTGAGAGGTAAGAGTTAGGATAAAATACATCTAACCTCCAAATTAAATGGGTAACCATTTTAAGAAAATGGCAGGGGGTCAGCATTCTAAATAGAAATCCCCTTAGTTCTTTGAATACGATTCTTGGTGAATGAGAGTGTTGGGTGTGGCAGAGAGGCCAGCCGCTCTGAAATCAGATGTCCCTGGTTTGTATTCGTGCCCACCCACTTGGTACCTGTGTGGCTTTGGGCACGCTGGCTAATGTCCCCATGTCTCTAACCCCCTCCTAGAGCAATGGCAGTAAAAAGTTACTGCAAAGGATATATGGAAGAAAATTCTTAACGCAGCACACAACTTGGAGTATGGACTTAATCGATCTTCACAAAAACAACAGTGGTTGCTAATGTTTAAATACATTTCATTTTTTAGTCAAATGTTGCCCCAAAAACCCAATTAAAAATCTAAGCAATAAAACAAATTTCATTTCATTTTTGATGACCTCTAACCCTGGTGACATCTTGGGTTACATGCTGGGCTGCTAAGCACAGGACCAGCAGTTCAAAACCACCAACAGGGCAGCTTTCTACTTCCAGAAGAGTTAGTTTGGACACCACCACCCCCCAGTAGTTTCACTCTGTCCTCCAGGGTCAGAATCAACTTGATGGCAGTGAATTTCATTTTAGTTTATGACTAAAATTATAGAGTCTAGGAAATGTCCAGCTCATCCATTAAAGCTTTTCATTAAATTAAAAGGGGAAATTATTATTTTTATAATCATTTTTATTAATTGGGGGGGAGCTCATACAACTCTTATCACACTCCATGCATACATCCATTGTGTCAAGCACATTTGTTGCCATCATCATTCTCAAAACTTTTGCTTTCCACTTGAGCCCTTGGTATCAGATCCTCATTTTCCCCCTCCCTCCCCGCTTCCCCCTCCCTCGTGAACCCTTCATAATTTATAAATTATTATTATTTTGTCATATCCTACACCATCCGACATCTTCCTTCACACACTTTTCTGTTGTCTGTCCCCCAGGGAGGAGGTTACATGCAGATCCTTCCAATCGGTTCCCCCTTTCTATCAGACCCTCTCTCTATCCTACCAGTATTGCTACTCTCACCACTGGTCCGGAAGGGATCATCTGTCCTGATTCCCTGCTTCCAGTTCCTATCTGTACCAGTGTACATCCTCTGGTCTAGCCAGATTTGTAAGGTAGAATTGGGGTCATGATAGTGGGGGGGAGTGGGAGAGAGGGGCGAGGAAGCATTTAGGAACTAGAGGAAAGTTGCATTTTTCATATCAACGATGAAAAATGTATGTTGCACCCTGACTGGCTTGTCTCCTCCCTGCGACAAAGGGGAAATTATTATCAGAAAAGATACAGAAAAAAAAAAAAGGCAAAACACATTTCTTATCTTTAAGATAAAGAGAATCTTTAGGCAGCTATGAGTAAAAGAAAGGAAATCCTGAAAATAATCTGCAAAGAGTATGTGTCATACACCCATATACATAATTACAGGAAAGGCAGTGTGTGACCAGCTCTTTTCAACCACAGGAGGAATATGTTTCCAAATTGCCGTAACAAAATCAGTAACACAGATTCAAGCTAACATTCCTATCTCTGGGCCTGATTGGTGGATGGATGTCATCGCTACAGGGGAGAAGAACCAGAAGGACAGACAGCCCAAAGGAGACTAAAACCACGGGGTCTGTAATATTTACACTAGTGATAAAAAGCCCCATGGACCAACTAAGTAAAAGTCATTGGAAAACATATACAGTTATGATGGGCTTAAAATAAATTTTGGATTATATTACACTTAGAATCATCTGTTTTCCCAAAGAAGGATGCACGCAGTTAAATATTTATTTTTTAAAAGCCTCTAACAAAATGACTGTAACCAAGAAGAGATAAAAATTCGTTTATATAAGTTCACGTGAAACATTTCAAAACACTAGTCACATAGACAGTTGGTAGTCCTCACTGGCTGTACACACAAGGCTACATTCAAATCATTGTCAACCCAACAGTGTCAAAGGTGTTAGAGCAAATTAGGAAAACATGATCAGAGCAACCAGGCAGCACCTGAACCACAGCAATACTGCATGTCACATGTGCTTCTACATCATGACATTAGATATCAATGATAGAGCCTGGCCTATGTTATCAGAGGAAAAACACATGGGCTGAAAATTAAATATTGTTGATGGTTATTTTAATATGTTGGATGGAATATGACATGCAAATTGCAGGACAAAATAATTTCCAGTTCTTAAGTGTGTGTAAATATCTGTGACAGCTTATGCTGCTTATAATTTGCATCTAGAAAATCAAGCCCAATAAGGATTCTATAGGCACTCTCAAAACTAGTGCACAGAATATACACATCAGAAATTCATGTGTGTGAATACTGCATGGCTCTTGTGCTCGCTCGCTCTCTGGCATGGCTTTATTATAGGAAAAGTTTTCTCCCCAAAAGGCAACAAAACAATTTCCAGGATCATCAAAAAACAACAAAAGGCATCATGTAACAAAATAGGGGCTAAGGGTAGAAGAAAGTAGCTATTAGAATATTGCTCCTCAGGTATGGGGTTTGTTGCTTTATAATTACAGAAGCTTATTCAATCAGACTTCCTGGGATGCACAAAGGGTTAGCACTCTCAGCTCCTAAAGGGCAGACTGAAAATACGAGACGTGCACCTCAGAAGAATGGCGTGGCAAACCACTTCTGAAAAATCAGGGTGTAAAAGGCAGTTCTTCTCTGCTACGCGAGGGTTCACCATGAGCCAGAGTCTGCTCACTGGCAACTGGGTTGCTATTTCAGCAACTAAGCAACACTGGACTCTTGGGTTCCTGTTTTTCTTGTTAAAAGTCCAAGACAGTGATTCTCAACCTTCCTAATGCCACGACCCTTAATACAGTTCCTCATGTTGTGGGGACCCCCCCAACCATCAAATGATTTTTGTTGCTATTTCATCACTGTCATTTTGCTGCTGTTAAGAATCGGGAGATCCCTATGAAAGGGCCGTTCGACCCGCACGGGGTCAGGACCGCGGGTCTAAAAGAAGCACTCCCTGCAACCAAGGAAACGCTTTAAGACACGATTGCCCCACGCCAAAAACACCCAACAAGGCAAAACTATTGCGCAGAGGTAAGAACCACTAGCAGTCCCCACAATCTGCAACAAACAACCACCTGCAAATGTGCTTAAGCCCCCCCAAAGATTTCAGGGACTATATCAGATCGCATTGACTGCACTTTGCAAAACAGGTTAGCCAACTTGGTTGGGAAATGTGTTCACAACAGTGCGTTGCAGACACAATTCAGATCTGGTAAATAATTAGAGCATCATCTCCTGACAGGATCTGAGTGTTGTCTGTTGGTCTGAAACAGCTAAAAACCTGTAGCATTTTCTCTTCCCATATCGGGTACTTTCTAAATAGATTTGAGAATGCATAGAGGGAAAGGGAGATTCGAGAGCAGGCGGTTACAGTAGGGCATGCAGATGATGGGGCAATCTCGCTTCTGGCGGGTGGCAGGGCTCAAGCCAGGGGTTCAGCGGACATAAACTAAAACACACCTCGTGCCCCGTGGACACACCAATGAGCTAGTCCTTTGTGCAAGCGCTTCATGAAGATGTTTGCTCCCTCCATTTTCCAGTTATCTATGCAGGAAATCATTACAAACCTACCCTAGATTATTTATTTGCACTGCCTTCTAACAGCACGCATGTGCCATTTCAGAACCAGTGTTTACATTTGCACTCACTGTCAAATTCACGACGGTGTCGCGTGTTTGATTGCCAAGCTGATGGGATAAGAACAGAATCCAATTTAGGATGTAAACAATGTGTTCATAGCCCAAACGACATCATAATGCTGCTCAAGTCAAGGCTTCTCAGCAGTTTGTACATACAGTAAGGCCCGGGCCATCACAGAGCACACAAGTAGCTGAACTGGGTCCAAATGGAAACACAACAGGGCCACAATGCCGGTACCTCGTTCACACTGTAATTGAAAGACACATTCAACTAGTTGACAAGGAGCCCAGGTGTCACTGTGGTTCAGCACTTGGATGCAAAGGGACAGCCCGGCAGTTAAACCCACTAGCACTCTGCAGGAGAAAGAGCAGGGTGTCTGCTCCTGTAACAGTGCAGCCTCAAACGCCCGAAAGGGCGGCTCCTCGGCTGTGTCCTATAGGGCTGCTATGAGCTGGAACAGACTTAACAGCATCAGGTTTGTTTTCTCATGTAGCACACTGGGCTGCTAACCACAAAATCACTGGTTCAAACCCACGAGTCACTCCGAGGGAGAAAGGTTGGGCTGTCTGCTTCCATAATAACTTGCCATCTCAGAAGCCCTCTATCGGGTTATGAGTCGGAATTGACTTGACAGCATATGTAAACAAGCGTACAGAGCACAGCTGAGACAATCAATCGTAAGTGTAAGTCACACTGCATTCTAGCCAATGAGTTAACTAACGCACAGGGATCTAACTGAGTTTTGTCTTGGTAGTTCACTTAAATAAGCTGAAGCTCAGGCTCAGAAGTGACCGGAGGAGACCATGGTCACAGAAGGAATTCTCCACAAGGAGGTCAGACTCCCAGGCCTCCATCAGTGCAATTATTACCTGTGAACGCAAACACCATTGCTAGCTATCGGCAGCTATACATAGATGGACTCAATGTGAATTCTCTCGTTTATTCTCAACGGCTAATATTCTCTGCTTCCTCTTATTGAGGTCCCTATCCACATTGTGTGGTCATTGTTAAGTAGACCCTTGCTTGGCGTCTGCCCTAGGCTTGTATCGCCATCTGTACAGGGACACTGGGATGTGTGAGGACAGTAGCAGGCTTGATGACGACAAGGGGAAAGGTGGAGAAAGGGAAAAATAAAAATTCCAAACCTGAGCGAGATACTGACTGCACAGCCTGTGTTGATACGACCGAACTATTGAATTGTATGC